AGGGATTTTATTTTCAGTCTGAAATTATACCAGAAATGGGAACTTTTTTTCTGTGTCATTTCCTTTGTAAATAGTCATTAAAGAAGATTATATCAGAGAACACCGAGAAGGCGAACAGGTCTTTAAGTGCCTCATATGTTTACATTGGAGAATAAATTCTCTGACCACTTAACTCAGCTGTCCAAGAAATTTATGTTTAGTGCACTCTATAAAAACTTTAATAGTAATATCAGTCCCATCTTCCAAATTGTATGAACATGTTACTTAATGTTACTATACTACTTTAATGTGTTTAAACTATATTTACCTGTTATATAAATTTTTACCAATTCTCTCTGCATAGTTCTTGTGACCAGGGTTTTTGACATTGTGAAAATGTTTTATTTCATTTTTGTTTCAAATCTTGTTCGTCTTGAGACAATTAATGCTATTCGAATTTGAGAACTGTCTAAGGTAACATGACAAATTATTTTAGAGCGAGAATTTTCTGTCAAGGTAACACTTGATATTTTTTTTTTACTGTACTGTACTGTAATCCTGATTTTCAGCACAGAAAATTTTCCATGAACACAAGATACATGAACTAGGGCATTGTCATGTGTTCATGCAAGTTTGGCACATCCCTATGGGGTAGGAAACAGCTGGCATTTTCTCCAGCACATGGGCACAAGCCTCATTGGCACCCCAGTTCAGGAATGTGTGTCAATAAGAGGTAAGGTGTATTATACTATCACTATCCAACAGTGCTGTGAGTATATGGCGCCAGTGAAGCAACATATATCAGTGAAAATGGAAAAAACAAACCAAACCCCTAAACCATAATGGATCAAGGAAAATGTAAAAAATGGAGGACAACTGCTCAGAGATGCCTGGACCAATAAATGCTTGAATAAAAGAAGAAAGTAATTGCAAAATATAGTCAAACCATTCTTTGCATGTTAAGTCGAATCGGCAGCATTTGACATTACGTGTGTTTGCTACTTATTCAATGGTAGACAGGGGGCACTGACATTTCTTATTTATTTCATTATTACAATTGTTTGTATTTATACATTTAACACGGTATTACCATTCCAGAATGATGAAAGACGATGTGCCACAGATAGCAGTGAAAGTGTTATAACATGGGCGTTGAAGCAGGTAGGTGTCGCTGAAACTCCACAGAAACAGCACGTGCAATTGTGTGATGTTACATTATGGTAGACAAAACTTGCATGTAAGTTTTTGCAAGAATGATTGTATTTTCTTTCCAATTTATTGAAAGACTGTGGTATTAAAATTTGTAATCTATTATCAGTGGAAAAGTGAAAGTATCTTCTATAATACAAAAAATTTTACTGTCCAAAACAAGGTTGTGTGGGCAGTTTCTCAGGACACTGCAAGTCGTAGGCTGACCCCAGATGATATAAATTAGAGCTCTCAAGTGGAGGATGCACCTTCCATATTAGGGGAAGCATCATCACAACACTAAGATATATCAGGAGAACCTTAGACTTAATAGATTATAAAATGGAATTGATTGTATATACTCCATTTTTTTCGTGCTCCCTGTCAATAACATGCCAGAGGAAAATTTAGTGAAATTATTGTATTGATTTTTGCAATTGCTAAGTCCAGTATTATTCTTAAAGATGATTTTCCTGCAGAGATGTGACAAGTCAGCATTTTTTTTCAGTAATACAGGCAGGGAGCTGTGGAATGGCGGCAGTGTTGGGGGAGGTTGGTGATCACATCTCACATGACCCACGGTGAATTTTGGCGAGCACCTGCTCCCTTAGTGGCATAGTGTCCACCCAGCCAGCAGGCCAGTGTGTCAGAGGTGGTACAAATGCAAAGTTCGCAAATTCGGGTAAAAGAGAGCAAGCCAAGATTCACACCAAGTTGTCGTACTACAAAAGTTGATGTGATTCACTTTTGAATTCATTTAAAAAAAGAAGCGGTTTGGTGGTTGGGGGGGGGGGAAAGCAGACAGAGGACAAACAACTATGATCTGACGCAACCATGAACAAGGCAGCAGCAAGAGCGCTGGTAAGGGGGGGGAGGGAAAGGAGAGAGAAGAGAGAGAGAGAGAGAGAGCGCTGAGAGAGAGGAGAGATAGAGGAGAGGAGGGGGAGGGAGGGAGAGAGGAGAGGAGATAGAGAGATCGGTAGGGAGAGCCAGGGAGATAAAATATAGAAAAAATGGGAGAGATATTGAAAGAAAGAGAGAGAGGAGGGAGAGGGAGAGAGACGGAGAGAGGAGGGACAGGAAGAGAGCAGAGGCAGAGAGAGAGAGACGGAGGGAGAGAGGGGAGGGGGGGTGAGGCCGGGGGGGGCAGGGGGGAGAGAGAGAGAGCAGAGGAGAGAGAGAGAGATGCGAGAGAGAAGAGAGAGAGAGAGAGAGAAGAGAGAGAGAGAGAGAGAGATACAGAGAGCGAAGACAGAAAGAGAGAAGAAGAGAGGAGATAGAGACAGAGAGAGAGACAAGGAGAGAGAGAGGAGAGAAACACGGAGAGAAGAGATAGTAGAGAGAGAGAGAGAGAGAGAGAGAGAAGAGAGAGAGAGAAGAGAGAGAGAGACAGACACCAGAGAGAGAGGAGAAGAGAGAAAGTAGAGAGGAGAGAGAGAGAAGAAGAGACGAGGAGAGAGATAGAGAGAGAGAGAAGAGAGGGAGGAGAGAGGGAGAGGAGAGAGGAGAGAGGGAGGAGGATGCGATAGAGAGAAAGAGTATAGAAAAAAGGTGAGAGAGAGGGAAGGGAAGAGAGAGAGGGAGGGCGAGGAGAGAGACGGAAGAGAGGGACAGGAAGAGAGGAGGCAGATAGAGAGGAGGAGGAGAGATGGACGGGGGGGAGGCCGGGGCGGGGAAGGGGGGGGATAGAGAGAGAGAAGAGAGAGAGATAGAGAGAGAGAGAGACGAGAGAGAGAGATGAGAGAGAGGAGAGAGAGACAGACAGAAGAGAGATACAGACAGAAGAGAGAGACAGACAGAGAGAGAAGACAGACCGACGAGAGAGATGACAGACAGAGAGAGAGAGACAGAACAGAAGATAGAGACAGACAGAGAGAGAGCGAAAGACATAAGAGAGAGACAGACAGATAGAGAAGACAGACAGAGAGAGAAGACATACAGAGAGATATTTTTTTTTTTTTTTTTAGACATACAGAGAGATATAGACAGACAGATAGAGATAGACAGACATAGATATATAGACATACATACAGAAGAACATACAGAGATAGATATACATACATATATATATATAAAGTGTACAGAGAGAGAGTAGACATACATAGATTATCTATAACAGACATATATATATAACATAAAGCTAATAGTACCTACATATATATACATACAGACATAGAGATATAGACATACAGGATAGATAGATACAGACAGTATTTTATATCATCACTATATATATACATACAATCTAATATACATACATATATATATATACATATATATCTATATATATATATATATATTATAATTAATATATATATAATATATATTATCTATAATACATATATATTATATATATATATATATATATATATATATAGATGTATATATATATTATATATATATATAGTATTTATATATTTAGTATAAATTGTTGGATGGATCTATATATAGATCGATATAGTTATAGGTACAGCTTACATACCTACATACGTTTACATACTCAACATATATTTGGTTTAGATAAATGTATATGCACATCTGGTATATATTTATTTATTTAATTGATGATTATATTATTTTATTATTATTTATTTATTTAGTTTTGTTATTCATACATTAAATGTGTGTGTATGTTTAATTTATTTATCTATTTATTTACTTCATACATTCTATATGTGTGTCTATTTATTGTGTAAATGTGTGTGTACAATATATATATATATATATTATATATATATATAGATATATATATATATATATATATATAGATATATATATATCAATCACTGTGCCTCTTCAATTGAAGATTGACTGCAAATACCTCGCTTTTCTGCTTTCATCTTGACATTCCACATATAATCCAGCTGTAGCCCATTCATTGGGGTTGTTGAACCAGGCCCTCTCTGTCTCCCTATCTATCATTCCCTTCACCAATCCTTCAATGCCAGCAACTCCAAATCCCTAGCATGCCCTAAGAGCCCCCTATATATATTATAGATATATATATATATTTATAATATATATATATTTATATTATATATTATATATATATATATATATATATGTATATATATTTATATATAAATATCTATATATATATTTATTATATATATATTATATATATAATTCTATGTATATATGTATAGGTATATTTAATGTATCATAAATATATATTATATATATATAATACAGATTTACATAATAATATTACATACATTTTTACATACATATATACAACATTATATATAATATAGATTATATATATATATATAATTTATATATTATATATAATATATACACATAACATAACATAAATATATATACATATGTATACATATGTCTACATATGTATACAATATTACTATATATAACAATATATATACATATATATACATATATATAACATATATAGACATATATATACATATACAAATATATACATATATATACTTACTTATATATATTATATATATTATATATTATATATATATTTATATATATATAATATTATATATATATATTTATATGTATGTATATGTATGTATGTATATATAGAACCACACACACATATTTATATATATATATATTATTTATATATAATATATATATATATATATCTAGTATATATATTCTAAATTATACATTATACATAGTACTTCTTCATTGTACATTCTACCATTGTACATTATACATTGTACATTTACATTGGTCATACTACATTGTACATTTACATTGGTTACATTCTACATTGTTACATTCTAATTGTACATTCTACATTGTCATTCGAGCATTGTACATTCTGCATTGTACATTGCAGTGTACAATCTGCATTGTTACATTCGCATTGTACATTCTGCATTGTACATTTGCATTGTACATTTGCATTGTACATCTGCATTGTACATTCTCGATTGTACATTCTGAATTGTACATTCTGCATTTACATTCTGCATTGTACATTCAGCATTGTACATCTGCATTGTACATTCTGCATTGTACATATCTGATTGTACATTGTACATGTACATTGTACATCTGTACATTGTTACATTGTTACATTGTAAATTGTATATTGTATATAGTATATTGTATATTGTATATTGTATATTGTATATTATATATTATATATTATATATTATATATTATATAATTTATATATTATATAAGATTATATCTATATATAATATATATATTATATATATATAAAGTTTGTTTATTATATAATATATATTATATATATATATTAATATACATCTAATATATATATTATATATTAAATATATATATATATATATATATATATATATATATATCAATATATTTATATATTATATATATGTATTATATATATATATATATTTATCATATATTTATTATTATATATATATTATATATTAGTTATATATATATATTATATATAAATAT